TAGTATAATGTTGACTAGGAGTGGGGTTCTGGGCACACTTGATTTGTACCCCATTGTGTGGGGACAAACAATGAACTTCACACCATTTATATGTTCTTGGTTCTTTTTTGAACATTCTTTTATCAGTCCTTTATCTAGTTATACACATTACCATCTTTTCCCCAATGGTAAGAGGGTTTTTTTTTAAATGTATCTCTGTTGAATATTATAAGTGGTTTATAAAATGGTTTTCAGTAACTCTTAAGTCACCCAAGCTGAAGTACACTGGTGTAATCTTAGGTCATTGCAGCCTTGAACTCATGGGCTCAAGTGATCCTCCCGCCTCAGCCTGCCAAGGATCTGGGACTGCAGGCATACTACCATATCTGGGTGATTAAAAAAATTTTTTTTTTGTTTCTTCGAGATAGGGGTCTCACTATGTTGCCCAGGCTGGTCTTCAACTCCTGGCCTCAAGCAGTCCTCCTGCCTTGGCCTGCCATAGTGCTGGGATTACAGACATGAACCGCTGCCTAGCTTGATTTTAGAGCTTTGTATTGTAAAATATGACATCAATGCAGAAAAATACATGTGACATATGTACAGTTAACAAAAAAATATTAGAAAATAATCCTCTGTGACATGAAAGCCAGCCTTAGATGTAGAACAAGCTTTCACCCCGAGACTCCACTTTTAATGAATCCTAGTCGAGGCCCCCTTACTCTCCAGATGTAACCAGTATTTTGAATTATACGATTCATATATGTAATTCACATATGAATTATGGTATATAATATAGTTATATAATTACACAGTTATGCACATATATGTGTATTGTTATAAATGTGTGTGTACAATATTTAAAAACAATGTAGGTATCACTTTGTGGCGTTTTCTCAAATGGTTACATTACTACTATTCTCCTGTAGCTTGCTCTACAACCAGTCACACATACAAACACAGTCTCAGGTACCAGGGGTCAGGACATGGACTTGTCTTTCTGGGGACAACCTACAACAAAGGCCTGGTTGTCAGCTCAGCACTTGCAGGCATGAGATCGCAGCTGCTGGGGAAGATCTTGCCTGGTCAGGAGACTCTGGCAGCCCCAGCAGCAGGTTGAAAAAAGGCCAGAGTGTCTCCTCTCCCCTTCCCCATTGTTTATCTAAAATTTTGCTCCAGTCCTGGGAATTGATTTAACATATTTTTCCCCTCCCAGTGCAATGCAAACTTTTAACATTTCCTGCCCATCCAAAGCTCACCTTTGGGAATACGGGGGCCATTTCTCCTACCTGGAGGAGAGGACAAAACCAAAGGCTGCACTTCTTCCGTCACTTAGCCTGCGTGGCCAAAAGCAGGTAGGACATCCCATGAGCCCACCCTCCTGCAGTTGCATCTTTTGTCTTCCCTTGCGTGGACTTTTTTTTTTTTTTTTTTTGAGACA